AGTGAGTTAATCCTTTCGTTTCTAGGTGAAGCTTTAACTTTGAAAGTTCTGCTGTTTCCCTTCAGAGGAGAGAAAGTCAAAGGAAAGAAAGGGATACCTTCCAATTACAACAAATCAGCTCAACAAAGGAGCAAGGCTGTTCTACCACACATACTATCAAACTGCAAATGCTTAGGATCTAGTTTCCTGAACAGTTCTAGTACCACCACTAACCATCCCTACCTCTATGAGAACTAGTAGGTCAGGACCAACAAAAGTGCTTTAAAAGTAGCTCCTGACCTTCATACTCCAACACCGAGCTCAGTACACGTTAGCGAACGGGAAATGAGGTGCAGTTCGGGGTGTGATTAGGTCAAATGTGTCAAGCCCACTGAAACTACCTAGCATAAAATGAGGTCTCCTGTGCTACATTTTATTTAGAGAACAAATGACAGTAGAAAATTGAACTAATTTTCTGAATGGAAAGATAAAGTAGGGTAACCATGGAAAAGGCAGCTGGAAGAAGTGCCTGAGAGACACATTAAGCAGTATTACGCAGACGGTGATGGTGAGATAAAAATAACAGGTACAAAGACGCACAAGGAGACCTAGCTGATTAAGTCTAGGAGTGGAGGATGCCTCGTGAAGTGAGAGAGACCCATAAACAGCCAGAGTTCCCACCAATAAGAACAGAGGCCACTTGTGCCCAGGACCAAGGGGACACGGGTCACACAGGACAGCGGTGACAGCTCTAGGTTGGGAACTTTAAGATGATATGTTAGTCCTTTGGAAATCACATCTGCTAATTTTGTTCCAAAACCCAGGGTTATACATTTTTTTTAAAGATTGGAGATTTTAACTTGTTTCAAGTCACAATTAAATCTCCAATTCCTACCTATTACAGTGGCCAACACATAATTGACCCAGGAGTGGTAACCAGTGAACATCAAATAAATGTTTCAATGAATGAATGAATTTATTCATTTAAAGTCCTTAGCTGATCTCTTATTATCTTAATTTCCATTTTCTCTTAAACATATAACGTAAACTCCTTCCAGGTGGAAGATTATATTTTTTCATCAGAAAAAGCAAAGCAATGTTAAGAAGTAAACCCTGCATTACCTTTCTCAAGAATGACAGTGCTTATAATCACATGCATCTTTTCTTTTTAAAAATTTTCATAAACTTTGGATACTCTGAACTCGAGTCTTCCTGACTGTATTTTTACAGACCTGTGATATCCATTTGCTTTTATCGTTGACCATAGGACCCTTGTTTAACATCTTGTACATATGCCTTTATATCCAAAGCCTGCAAAAGTCTTCCATTGCAGCCACGTGTGTTCTCTTAATCGCTCCTCTTCTTCATTTTCATTGTGATTATTCACATCTTTTTATCAAACACGTACCCATTCATGTCCAAAGGATCAGTTCCTCTTTCTGCAAGTTTAGGTAGTGAATGTCCTAGATTGCATAATTGACTATAATCTGTCTCCCAAAGTTCCCACCATTTTTCATCACTAGCAAGCTTCTCCTTCCTCCCTTAGAAGTAGCATCAAAATTAAAGTGCTCTCAATGCCTGCTCTATTTCTGGGATAGGAAATCGTTAACAAATAGAGAATGAATATGCTGTCCTGCTCTTTAGTAAGGTGGCCCTTCCAGGAGTTGCCCAGTTCACTCAACTAGTATTACAACCTGCCTTGACATCCATTCCTAATGAGCATCAGGCAACCATTGTCCATGCTCCCCATTTGATGGGAAGGCTCTATCATGTTCTCTCAACAGTCTACTTCTGATTCTGCTTTTGACCCTACTCCAAAAACTCTGTCCTATGCACCCATCATGAGGTCATTAGATTTGCCAAAAGATACACATCATCCAAGCCCACACAACCCTACATCCCCTTCTGCTAGAAGCGTCATGTTGCTTAAACCAACTTCTCTATTTTCCCTTCATAAATTTCCTCTAATAGAGGCAACTTGCTCAATTGAGTTACCTAATTTAGGCAAATTTACATCTATAAAATGATTTTAGAAGGAGCCTGCAATTTCAACATAATAATTAGCAGAATTATTCCCACAGAAATTGCATGAGACGTTACTCTATACTATGGTTAATTAAAAATGGAGATGATTTATTATAGTATATTAAAATCATGGTACTATTTCTTGACCTTTAAGAGTAAATATCTAGGAGTCTTAAACAAACGCTTGGTGATCATAAGAAACCTTTAAATTCTAACAAAAGGATTATTTAATTCCACTGTGACTAATAAAATGGAGGACAATAAACAGCTAGCCAAACTTAAAATCAACATAATTTTTCACTCATTCATCAAACTGATGATTAATATCTAAAGTCTGGAATATTCCAAGGCACACTTACAAGAACATTGCCATCAGTAGCCATGTACGATGTCAAATTGGTAGACATAAAAGCTAGAAGAGAAAAAAGATTTTCCGTTAAATGTGGGATTAAATTGTTCATAAAAGCATATACCTCTTAGTTGGGAAGAAAGGCGCTCCTATTTTGATGAATGAATTTCACAATAAAAGCAATTCATTACGTGGCCTTTTAATCCAGAATAAGCCTAGTGTTAATAACTGAGTTCATAAAATAAGACAGAATTTCGTCTGCACATCTGTCAATATTCTTTCAAGTCTACAGCAAGATGTGTATTTTTTATCTACTTAATGTTGTATTATATGAAAACCTATGTCTTTGAAAAGTGAAAATATTTTCCTCTTCATAATGAACAACACAATGTAAGATATGGAAACATTTGACCCATTAGTATTGTTATAATGTTAACTAAACAATTTCAAAAATGTAACTAATTCCTCCACCTCAGAAGTCCCAACTTTAATATGAAGGTGCGGTACTTTTTGATGAATTGCACTTTGTAGTGGATAGTGAATTACCTGAAAAATAAGATACTGTGTTGTGTGGTTTCAAGAAAAGGAAATGAAATCAAAAAGAAAAAAGTCTCATGTTTTCAGACTTTGACGAGCGAAAAACTTGTTAAACATTCACAAGCCATTGAAACTCTCCCCAAAGCAGAGAACCTTTCACCTCTTCCCAGGGACACCATAAATACAAGTCCATACCGCCATGAGACTTTATTTCTTATACCCATGGTTCCCAAATTCTGAAAAATATATACCCCTTTTTCATGATGAAAGTGTCATATTTATATGACATAGATGTGAATAAAACATTTATTTGTAAAATGCTAAAGAGGAAAAACCACAATAAAAAAGACTGAATAACTTAATTACTTGATTTTTAACTTGTTTTAAAAATGCACTATAACAGAAATAGAAAATCAAATCAAAAGCTCATGAAATTAGCTGCAATATACACTTAATATACAAGAATCACAACATAAAGAGTTCTTACTCACCAATAAAATAAGAAGCAGACTGGGAGATCAAGATGGTGAAATAGAAGAATGTGGAGTTCACCTCCTCCCACAACTATATCAAAAATATATCTACACACGGAACAGTTCTCACAGAATACCCACTGAACACTGGCGGAAGATCTCATACAACCAAAACTGCAAGAAAGATCACCACGTAACTGGCTAGGATGAAAAGGGGAAAAAAGGACTTGGGATGGGACCTGCACCCCTGGCAGGGAGCTGTGAAAGGGGAAAGGTTTCCTCCCCTTCCAACCTCCTTCACCAGGTAGGAGATAACCTGGGGCAGATAGGGAGCTTCAGAAGCTCCGAGGAGGTTTCATCAGCTGGCTTGAGGCAGGCAGGACAGAGAGAGACTAGCACAGACGGTCCTGGCCGCCTCACTGCAGCTCCAGCCTGAGACATGCACCTGCTGGAGTGCACAGGAGCTGGGTGTTGAAACTCGAGCTTCAGTGGACAGATCCAGGGAGAAGATTCAGTTTGGCTGCATAGAGACAGCCCCAAGGGACTCAAGAGTGGTACAGGACACAACTGGAGCTGTGTGCAGGACAGATCGGAGCCCTCTTGTCAATGTTAGTGCAAAGTAAGGGGCGTGGCTCCGTCACAGCAGCCTCGGGTCAAGCCCGCCCACAGAGGGTGTGGCTCCGCCCCTGTGAGCTCCGGGAGCGCAAAGGCGCTGGAGGGCTGCCCACACGCAGGAACGCAGGAGCGTAGAAGTGGGGCTGATGTCTGAGCTCGGTGGGTGCGTGACTTCCACCAATTTACACCCTTGGCAGCTTTGTGAGTACAGTGCCTGGACTTCCGAGTTGTTTGCTGGGTGTCTCCCAGCTGAGACGGGGCAGAGGGCGGTTTCCACAAGTGCACTTTGTGAGCATGCGCAACGAGGGACAGGTGATGTCACAAAGCACACGTGCTGGTGGACATCTCCTGCTGCTAGTTTTCCAGCAAGTCCCACCTACCTCACACCACAACTCTAACAACTGAGGAGCAGACCCTGCCCCTGACAGGGATCTGACAACTACTGGACAAAAAGGAGAGCCTGGCAAGCACCCAGTGCAGGCTCTGGTCACCACAACACCGATCATACCCCCATCAAGGGGACAGTGGCCAGCACATCCTGAGGGAAGATCTGGCAGGCATCCATACCAAAGACAGCCCTCACACCAAGAATACTAGCTCACACAGTCTACCCAAGGATGCTTCCAGATAAAAACAGCCCTTCAAGACTATAGTGGATAACTCTTTTCTCCTAAATTCGTAGAGTCAGAGAAATGTAAGTAGAATGAAGAAGAGGAACCACTCCCAATTAAAAGAACAAGAGAAATCCCCTGAAAGAACAAATAACGAAACAGATCTCTTCAATCTACTAAACCCCTAGTTTAGAAAGGAGGTAATAAAAATCCTGAAGGAGTCAAGAAAGGCTATTGATAGAAACACAGATCACTGTAACAAGGAACTAGAAACTATAAAGAGGAGCCAATCAAAACTAGACAACTCAATTGCTGAGATGAAAACCAAGCTAAAGGCAATAAATAGCAAATTAAATCATGCTGAAGAAAAAATAAGTGATCTGGAAGATAGAATAATGGAAATCATCCAACCAGAACAGCAGACAGAAAGATAAATGATCAATCAATCAATCCAATATATGAGACCTATGGGATAATATAAAGCATGTCAATCTACACATAATAGGGATCCCCGAAGGAGAAGAAAGAGAAAAGGTGATCAAAAATGTATTTGAAGAAATTATGGCTATAAACTTCCCAAACCTAAAGAAGGAAATAGATATTCAGGTACAGGAAGCACAGAGGGTCCCAAACAAGATGAATCCAAACAGACCTACACCAAGACATATTATAATTAAAATGGCAAAAGCTAAAGAAAAAGAGAGGATTCTAAAGGCAAGAGAAAAACAGAGTTAGTTTCAAGCAAACCCTCATAAGACCATCAACTGATTTCTCTACAAAACCACTGCAGGCCAGAAGGGAGTGGCAAGATGTATTCAAAGCCCTAAAAGGGGAAAGCCTGCAAAGTAGGACTCTACTCAGCACGATTATCATTTTGAGTAGAAGGAGAGAGAAAGAATTTCTCAGATAAGCAAAAATTAAAAGAATACAGCAATACTATACCTATCTTAAAAGAAATTTTGGAAGATATTTTCTAACTAGAAAAGCAAGAATGTATATGAAAGGGAAAATAACAATAGGAAAAACAAATACATAAAAAGATTGTAGATCAAATAAATAAGACAGTACATAGATTTTTTTGAAAAAGGAACCTTGTGAAAGCAATTACAAATACAATGAACAGCACAAGGATAAACATAAAGATGTAAAATAGGACATCAAATCGTAAAATGTAGGTAGGGGAGTAAGAAAAATATAGATTTTTTTTCTAGAATGAGTTTGAGCTTATCTGACTACCAGTCTAAACCAACAAGAATGAAAAAAAATAAAAGAAAAAGAAAACCTAAATTTAGCAGAAGGAAAGAAACAATAAAGATCAGGGAGGAAATAAATAGAGATTAAAAACAGAAAAAAAATCAATAAATAAAATGAACAAAACTCTGGACAGGCTCACCAAGAAGAAAAGAGAGAGGGCCCAAAGAAACCAGATAAGAAATAAGAGGAGCAGTAACAACCAACTCCACAGAAATTTTTTTAAAAATCATAAGAGAATATTATGAATAATTATATGTCAACAAATTAAACAACCTAGAAGAAATGGACAAGTTTCTAGAAACATACAGTCTACCAAAACTGAATCAAGAAGACATACAATCACTAGAAGTGAAATATGACTGGATAAAGAAGTTGTGGTATATTTATACAATGGAATACTATTTAGCCATAAAAACTGACAACATAATGCCATTTGCAGCAACATGGATGTCCCTGGAGAATGTCACTCTAAGTGAAGCAAGCCAGAAAGAGAAAGCAAAATACCATATGAGATTGCTCATATGTGGACTCTGAAAAGAGAGAAGAACACAAATGAATTTAAATATAAAACAGAAACAGACTCATAGACATAGAATACTAACTTGTGGTTGCCGGGGGGAGCGGGACAGAAAGGGACAGACTGGGAGTTTGAAATTCGTAGATACTGACAGATATATATAGAGTAGATAAACAAGTTTTACTGTATAGCACAGGGAAATATATACAAGATCTTGTAGTAGCTCATGGTGAAAAAGAATGTGAAAATGAAAATATGTATATTCATGTGTGACTG